AGAGCAAAACACACTGTAAAGAACTGAAGATAGAATAATTAAAAGCACTTGGAAAAACCACTCAGACTGCCCAAGGACTATCTACGCGCAGTTTTGTGAACTGAAATTTAAAGGAAATACCCTGCTGCTCACAGAGAACCTACTAAAAGTTTGAAGCGTTCCCAGAAGTAGGGTAAAAGTTGACACCTGACTTTTTTTCAGGTAACACTTAAATTCAGAAGGCAGCAGCCCATGAAGATGCAGGCACAGCACACAGCTGTGACACAGGCCGTTTTCATGATTATACCTACTCCACCTTCACTGTCCTGGTACCCACATGCAGATACAGACCCAAACTTGGCTTAAGTCCTGTTAATTCCTGTCAAAACCACTAGAAGGGTGCATGTAAAATACAGCCAATCCAAACACGTACCTTCGGAGCTATGAGGAAAGTTCCCCAAGCAGACAGTAACAAAAGTATTTAGCTGAGTGACCCGAAAAGATTTAGGTAACCCTCCAAGACCAGATGGATCCTGCTACCATCTACTATTATTACTACCACAAATTAGTTCTGCCTGCATCGTTAATTAAATCACCACAAACTGGCTTGTATGTTAAACATGAGATGCCAGAAGAAATCCTGGTTTAAACAGACACTTGAACCACCTCCAAAACAACGGCAACCCAGATGAGCACAAATACTCAAGATGGTCAATTAGGTAGGGGAGGAGGAACGGATGGATCAGAAGATGTGCGCACAGTCGAACTGCAAGCTTTGTGGTTACAATCTCCGCAGAGGCATGCACCAGACTCTGCAAAAACTGTACTAATTGCATAAGAATATTTATCGGCAAACTGAAAACAGGCTTTTGGAAATATCAGCGACTTATGCTTTAAAAATAGGCAAAGCAATGAAGGGAAGATCACAAAATATGATTATGAATGATTATAGAGAGTTACACGGTGGAAAGACCCAATGGAATTTTTCAGGTTTCATATTAATAGGAAAGAAAAACATATACAACTACTGTCTGTAATTCTAAGGGGGCAAATGTAACTTTATTAGAAAGATATAACTTATTGGGTAGCTAGTGTGAGACAGCACGATGCTTTAAACACGCTTAAAAATTCTGGCTTAAAAACGGGCAGTTAAATAAGTGAGACTTTAAACACTACACTTTCTGTATGATTTTCACATAATATACAAAAACACCTATTGGTGCTGTTTTTACTGAGACAGAGTTAAAGGCCCAGAAGGGAATACTCCATGCAAACAAATTATTTGAGAACTACAGTCTAAAGCCCTAATAGATTTTGAAAATGCTTACAAAAATAAAACCAGAAGGTAATTTCACTGGGCTCCCTATTTTTTCTGTTAATATCATAAAGGAGATACCAGTAGCAACATTCTATATGAAATGGTGACATATTTCTGGCATCTTCCTTTAAAAATACCCAAAGCTCCACTTTACAGCAGTGAGCCGCCATCTGCAGAGAGGTTCAGACAATCTTTCCTAACCCCCTGTTATAGCAGAACCACTCCAAAGTCCCCACCACAGGTTCAGGAAGCAGCAACAGCATGAGACGGTGCTCTGCTCTACTTGCAAAGGGACAGCAGAAACATAGCCTGCCTGGCTCACATAGAGGTCATAGTGGATCTGTCTCTGCTTTTCACAGAAGCTAGCAGAGATTTTTTTTTTTAAAAAAACCAAAACCACAAACAAGTCCAGGAGAAGGATATCCTGGGAATATGCTATAATTTGCCACAGACACAGCAGCCAGAATTTACTAAACAAACAAACAAAAGAACCAAGCCAACAAACCCAAACCCCAAAACCCATGTTATCTATTTTATCATCACATTTAATAGCCAAGAACTGGACCAAAATTTGGCTAACCCTTAATTTGATCTTTTTTACACTTCTGTCATGCTGTAGCCAGAAGTTCCACATTTTAAACTGTACGCTGTGCAGAAGTATTAGCAAGTCTGCTACCTAATAGCTTCAAGTAGTACCTATTAGCTCTTGTTTTATGAGAAATGGCAAACACAGATTAATCTTTATCCACCTTCTCTATTACAGGGATAATTTTAGACACCTCTATCAGCTTTCTACCCCCCTCCCCCCTTTAAAGTCGCTTTGCCATTTCGTATTTCCCTGTGGCAGATTTTCTAGGTTGGAAAAGTAAACCAGAACTACTCAAAAGTCTTCACAAAGAGAAGCAATAGTCACACCAGGACAAAATCATTCAAAAGAAGCTGGAGGTAAACAAGGGCAAACCAAACCAAACTGCAGAAGTACCCTTCTGAAGGGGCACTAAAACTTATTAGTAGTTTTAGTAGTAGACGCAAGTCAACTGCTCGGTTGGACAGAAATAAAACCAGCAGTTTTGGCTTCCTTACACAAATACATGTGTTTAGTATTTGTACATGTACTGGCTGCATATTCAGTTCTTGTCACACCGTCATGGTTGATGTTTGGCAGTATCTTTGCTTTTACTTTTCATCTCAGTTCAGAATAATCCTACAGAAACCCCAGTAATTAAGGTGTGATAACAATATAACAATGCCCGTGACATAACAGAAACAAAAGGCAACAAAAGGTGTATTTTCTTTTTTCAGTAGGTGCTAATAGCAGTTAATTTACTACACGACTGAAATAACTAGATATGGCACTCATCTCTCTTTATGAGACCATTTTCACACTGTACTTATTTTCGCTGAATTAAACAAAAAGAAGATATCCATACCTGCTTCTCGTGGCAATCCTTCAGGGCTGATGCCAAGCCCTCTTCCAGCCTATTGAGTGCCATTTCAACACCTGAAACCCACCAGATTTGTGAAACAGTAAGTGCAGCCTGGGCTGGGCGGTCAAAACCCCACTGTCCTCTCTGCTTCTCTTCATAGGCCAGTATCACCTCCATGACGTAAAGGTGAAGTGTTTTGTGTACAGTTCCCTCAAGCTGTTGCAACCAAGACTCTACCTTTTGAAGAAAAAACCCAAAGATATGTAAGTTTAAAATGTACAATTTGTGTAACATGCATATACTAGCAATATAAGAAGCTTATCTCATTAACCTTTACAAAAGATTTTCTTTACATCAACATTCTTTACAAACGTGAAATGACAGTGGGATTTTTTTTCTTCTATTTTCCCTCTCCTACTGCCTCTTCAGCAGAGCTCAGGAGCCCTTCCCACTTACTGATACACCAGACATTGTTTTGTTTTACATATCCACTTGACTTGAACACACAGGCATACTGTCTTAAGAGTTCCAAATATGAAAGTCTGAAGTTTTTATGTTCACAGACACAGAGTAAACACAGACAATACAGTTTTTCCTATGTCTCTGTGCACTCAAACGTAGCTGTATCTTGGAGAAACCATCTCTAAGAGGCAAGCTGCATATATTTGTCCATTCAGTCTGGGGCCTCCCTGCTGAGACAATCAATCATTAGAACCACATGCAACATTGATTTTATGCAATGTGAATGCTTATCCATTCAGCACTGTTCTGAGAACAATAAGTTATTGTCCCAGAAGCTGCTGATCTGTTCTTTCTGACCTACCACTACCCAGTTAGCATGCATACTGGCTGGCCAATTAGCAAACAGGAGGCTCAAAACCAGCTAAACCCCTGCTCATATGATAGGTGACATGGAAGAGAGCTGGAGGTCTGGAGAGGTGTGTGCTAAAGGATAAGAGGAGGGGATCTGAAAGTATAATGGAGGATGAAATAAAAGTGCAGAAGAGAGGAAATATGAGAAATGCAACATTCAACCATAGGCTTCATCCGTTCTGTGGCTTTTAGAACATTATTTTTTTCTTTTTCACTGCTCCTAAACACTTAGCTCTCTACACTTTAAAAAAAACAACTTACATATGAGGGGCAACTAGACAATTTATTAAATTATTAGTTTATTACACAGTTCTGGACCACAAATGCTTTGAAATCTGGAAGAAATAGTTGTAAGAGGTTTTTATTGTTATTTTTTTCTAAGTTTACATTTTTAAAAGCAGCATTTCATGCCATTGAAAGTGTCTGTTTAATCTACATCCCAAAGAGGGCAAAACCCATGAAGAAAATTTCACATAACTCAACATACCTGACCGCTGCATCCACAGTCTTCATGGAATGGAACACAAATCTTTTCTCTGCTTTACATCCCAAGTGCAGGATTTATAGATTCCTCTATATTCCCTTGAAATTCAAGATTGGCAATGCTGTCAAAAAGTTTGGTAATATGACAGGCTACCTGCACTCAAAAATACCAGACATAAGGAAACCATTTACCTTAGATTTGTGTCAATCACACTACGTCAATGCATATTTCTATTAAAGTAGATGATTACCATGCTAACATTTGCTACACATAGTAAGATTTTGTGGTTCAGCAAAATTTTAAACAGCAAAATTTAACACAGTTTTTAGCAGCTGAGTAACATGAAGTCCTTGTGCTAATCTTACAATGGTGTTTCTTATTCAAATGCTTTCAGTACTTCAATTGATCTTAACAAATAAGATGCAGCAAATGATCAGGTTAATCAACATATAATTCTTAAGTTTTAAAGACAATTAAAAAATTAAAACCAGGGGGGTTTTCAATAGTTTTAGAAAGCTTATGCCAACTGAACAAAAAACAGTACTCCCGATTCCCATGGTGGCACAGACTGACCAGGTGATACTATCCGACTCTTGCATGATCACTACACAGGAGGTTTTTATGGGAAAGGCTGGGGTTAATTACGCTACTGTCAGTCATCAGAAGAACCTGAAGGACAAAGATAGCTCAATATAAAACTAAGATGTCTCGAAATTGTTATTAATTATGGCTAGTGCTTATTTCACAAATTGCCAATTCAGGTCTAAAAGCCTTGTGGAAGTGCACACCTCTCCAAAGACCATGGAGTTTGAAGCTCACTGTCTACGCACGAGCATGCCCTATGGCTGACAACTAGAATAGAAGATTTGTTTGGTTGCTCTTCTTATATGCGGTATATAGCAATGACTGGATGATCTAGTCACTGAGATTTAGTTATGAGAAGCAGCTATGAGACTCTACCATCATGTTTGAAAAGGCTCAGTGTTCAAGCCTCACAAGCCTTTCATCCTCTTGGAAAGCACCAGTTCTGTTACACGTCACATCCCTTCAAAAAAGGCTTTGCCTGAGACACACCAATAACTCTAGCACTCGGAGAATTAATGGCCACGGCTGGATAGTCACTGAGGCCAGGAGTATCATCTGGCATGTAGATAACATAGTATAAAGCTTCTGAAATACATCAAAGCGTCTGTGTTTCATATAAATTGGTCTCGAAGTGTCACAAAACCTAGCAGACTATTGTTCAAGGGAGGAAAACAGAAGAACAGCTACAAAAACATTCCTTGTACAATGGTCAGCAGCTCAGTCACTAACAGCCTAACAGAGACCACAGATCTTTCAGTCTTACTTATCATCACTATGCATAGTGTGCCTGAAATTTGATCAATCCGTGCCAGGAGGAGAATTGATTTGATGATCTCATTGACCTTTTCCATTTCTAATTCCTGCAAACTTACAATCCAAAAATCCAAACAAATGCAAATTGCACACAGCTAAATTCCCAGCAAGAGACAGCACAGGATTTGTGACTTCTCAGAACGATGATTTCATCTCTCCTTGCTGAACACCTCGTACTTCTCCTAGCTGGGGTGGGGGTGGGAACATTTACTACCTTCCTTACACAAAGCATTCCTATTTGTAAAGTAAATTAACACTCAGAAACAAAGGTGCAGCTCTATGATGCTACCTCCTCACAAGGTTAGCTAGAAAACTTGCCTTTCTGTAGACAAAATGAAGTACAACAACATACAGGGAGGTTCACCTGTTTCGGTGGTGTTCCTTTTGAAAGGATGTCTAGCAAGTCTCCTGAAGAAACAAAATAGAAGCAAGGAAGAGCTATGCATTTGGTTTCTAAATACTCAGCCAGCGCTTTTTCACAGAGAGAAAGTCTGAAAAGACAACAGAGGTTTTAACAATACACGCTTTTAATCACTCAAAAGCCATTAATTCCCTCCCAGTTAAGGTAGGAATCAGACCTAACAGTAAAACAGAACAACACAATCCAAAATTTAAAATTTTAATTTAAAATAATAACAATGAATACAACTGTAAGGAACAGATAAGGCGTCAAACCTTATAAACTTTTTCCAGAAACCAAAAGGAAAGATGCTCTTTTTACTCATTCACACCAAGGAACAGAAGAGAACAGAATGGTGCCAGGTAAGTCCCTGAAAAGGTAAGTCTGGCTAAGCAGAAATTCCCCTTCAGCCTTCCAAAGAGTCCAGCCTTAAAAACTAAGGGATGAGAACAAAATTTCTTGCTTGACAGGATAGTTATTTGCAGACACATTTAAAAAATAATAATTTAAAGAAGAAAGAGCAAAGTAACCACTTTTAAGATGCACACATTTATATATGAAGGATAACAAACATGAAAACACATGTTGAATATTGACACAAAAAGTATTAAGAATCAAAATACTCAATTACATACCAATCTGGAGAGGAAAAACACACATTTATTTATGTCTGACTGATGCACTTTAGCTACTCGCTGAAGTGCTCCTAGCTACTCACAACAAAAGTGACATCTCAAAAAAACTACTTTTTCCTGCAAAGAGAAACAGGCTGTGACTCCAAACATCGCTGTTCCTACATGAGACCACGTGTGGTGAACTTCCAACCAAATGGAAGTGACAGAATCTGCCATGTTTAATTTATTTTGCCAACATTTCACTTGTCCAATATAACATGCCACACATTTACTTTTCAGAATCGTTTGCAGCTAGAGAAACAAATAACAGCAAAAAACCTGCACTAATCAAAATAATTTATCAAACAGTGGAACTACAGCTAATAAAAACTCCTCCAGTAACTTGTTATTATCATATATCGTAACAGAAGATATCTTTAAACACTGCAAATGGACAGCATATTATTAAATGATTTTTTTAAAAAAAAATATTAAGAAAAAAACAAGCTTAAAAAGCTGTAATTTTGTTGTCTCCTACATGGAGAGAGGATTTAAAAATTTTTTTTAAAACGAATATATATAGTTACACAGCATACATATAATTTCCCAGAACTAACATCTGGGGAAAACATAACTCTCTGCAACAAAGATTCATGAAAAAAGTTTAACTAACCAAGTGCATCAAGGGAATGAGTAATATTGATATACTAATAGTATTTCTATGAATTTAAATCCTTACTTGATTGTTATCTAAAGTTTCAAGCAGCTGTTCATCTGACTTTAATAAAGGAGCTCTATTCCTGTGATGCTCTTTGTAAGAAAATTCCATGGCAGCCCATGTTTGGCTGACTTCTGCCAAAATCTGGGAAAAAGAAGAGCAGTAATAACATCTGCCTATACATATCACATTTCATATTTTGAGTTGAGAACTTTAATTAAATTATACTTAAGTCACAGTGATGGTAAACTACATCAAAATAAGAAGTTAGTTTCACTAGGCTGTGAATTTTGCTCCCCAGGTAGGTCACATGGAACTATTCAATTCTATCATTAATTTCTTGAACCAAAAGAAAGAGTTTGTTACCTACTGGTCTGCAAAAACAGAAGGAAAAAATGGGCACCTCTCACCTCTTCAGTACCCAACTCTTTCACAGCGTGGTCAACTATACTTTGGACTTCGTCTTCTACTTCATGAAGCTGAAGTCCTAGAAGTCTGTAAGGCAGTATGTTCTGATACTAAAAGCCTGACCTATAAAGCAAAGAGACAGCAGAGAGCAAAATAAGTAAACGAGTACAAAAAAATCACACATAAGCATGTAACAAAGTGTTCAAATGGAATCCAAGCAAAAACCAATCAATTAAGTTACATGCACTCTAGATACTGACTACACTTTCAGATTTGCACCAAGCTTGGAACTTGATCAGCCTAAATGAAATATTTTTTGATGCTGTTACTGTACTTTTTTTGTTTTGAAACAGCTGTCGAGTGATAGTCTGCATGTTCTTGTACTGTGACATACTGTATGTCATACACCAAAAGGCGAGTTTATTTGCACAGCTGCCACTGAAGCTGATGTAAGCTACAGACACAGTATTTGCACAGTAGAAGTCTCAGGGGGTGGTGGGCATATTTGCCATCTTTGTTGCTGTCTTCTAAGATATCAATTAAAAAATACCTTTAAAATTTTAATCAAGGCTTTGGAAAGACCACAGTCAATCCTTTTTGCATTTCTGGTTTAAAAAAAAAAAAAAAAAAAAAATTCACAAAAATGTTGTGCCAGGCCTGTTTAGGAGCTTTTAGCATTAAAAATAGTTTTAAATGTCCTTTTACTAAAACTGTATGTGAAAAATGCTTGGTATATTGGAACAGAAACATTCCGTTATGCTCACTTTCTTACGTGTTTTTCTTTCAGCTTTCCAGTTTTCCTCATTTTAAAAAATGATCGAAAACTGAGCTTTTGAAAAATATTTTTTTTTCAAAAAAGTTAAAAAAAATGTCATTCAGGTTTTGAAAACCAACAACCAGTCCACGTTATACCCTAGGAAACAAAACCGCGATTCTCTTTGAGAAACTGAAATAACTTTTTGGGGGGTCGTACATACTTCTTCGGTTTTCCAGCTACGTGATGAACAGTTGGGTAAAACATACATCACTCCCTCTTCTGGCATACCTTTTTTTTTTTTTTTTTTTAATCTATTTACTGTCAGGTCAACAGTCTCCCTATGCAACAGTTCTTAAAAATTTACTAGTAGGCTGACATTTCAGGTGGCCTTTCTTTACCTTCCATTTCCCTCTGCCCATCATTTCCCCTGTTCGCTATTAAGAAACATTCTCTTTTGCTATCCAGGAAAGTTTCTAGCCACATTGCTCTGTTTTCTTATAAATATTCAATAGAAATTATTACTGCAAAGTATTCCCCTGTCCCAAACAAGATAGAGAACTTTTCAAGCTTAGTGCTGCTTTCAGGCTCAGCAGGGAGACAGCCAGCCATGGAAGAACCCTCTAATTTAGCACGCCAGGTCTGCCTTCAGAGAAGCGGGTCCTTTTGTCTGAGCAGAGACCACAAATTCACTTCTCAACGCACAAGATACCTGCCTGAAAGCTAAATCTCTGCTCCACTTACACGCTCAATAGTTGGCAGCAGCAGCTCCACCACAAGCCTGACAGTACTGCTGCATCTATGTGTAAGGCATGGAAGACCATCAGCAGTGTCTCCTTGGCTGAATACTTACTCGTGTCATATTCATGACCTGGTACCAGTGTCTCTTTCCCCGACTACAGGATTTTGCAACTCCAATATTGCTCCCAGTGATGACATCAGATTCTTCATCTTTAACTCCAAGCCCCTATATACATCCCAGGCACAAACTTCTTTATCTGAAGACTGCATTTCCTAAGGAATAGGATTAAAATAATTGCAATAATTACTTGACATTAACAGCCACCTTGTCAACAACTTCAAGAAAACTTTAGCAGGTTTGTCAGAAAGCTCTGCTTTCCTGTTTCAGCCATGGATGTGTGGGAGGGTTGTAGTTAGCACAAGACTAGGGAAGATTTTATTGGAGTCATTGGTTTATGTGGCAGATAAAGCAAAGGAAATGTACTTCCCAGTATGCCAAAGTAATGGAACTGTATTAGCACTGCACTTACACAGCGATTTTATGCTTCCAGTTGGATCAGAACCATTTACTTTACCTGATTATTTAAGTCAAATTTTATTATTAATTATTTCACTACAGATAAAAGTATCCATAAATTTAATACATCCAAGACCACCACTCAGAGGGGTAAGGGAGACTCAGATGCACACCGGAGCATGACGAACACGACACAAGTGATCAGCTCACAGGCAGCTATCAGCATCATCTCTGTTCCAGGACCTGGCATACGTGCCACAGTGAATGATGCAAAAGCAGGGGAACACAGTTATCTCAACCCTCTCCTTGCTTTTACCACCCCTATCACAGCATGACAGCCCCCAGTATCAGAACTGGTTAGGTGGAGTCCGTAATTCTGAAGCAATTTAAGCAGAGACATCTGCTGAAAAGTCTGATTCTTCTCTTAAGGCACTACTAAACGGGCCTGCAATTAAACTCATTTATTCCTGAATGAAGCAAAAGAAGAAACTTTATACCCATTAGGTTCAAGACTTTCTTCCTTCTGTACTCAACTACTACACTGTCTATGAACCATAGCTATTCCTCTAGTGTCCTGCAAATAGTCTGGGGACCTTTGTTGCTATTTTTGCTTCAGATTTCCCTTGTCCCATTGGAATTGTCTTCTGCAGGGCTACTGTCAACAAAACATTGCAAATACTTCAGGCAAAGACAGTGCCCTCCCTTTAAAAATCAGCATCTTTGCTGCAACTCCCAAAGCTCTGGAGCTATGTCTAAGAGCAGAACAGATAATACTACAAATTCCACCTGTCTAAAAATAATGACTTTCATCTGGTAGGGCCTGTCATAAACCCCTACCCTCTTTATGCTTTCACATACCGCCTCAATTCAGGGAAGTGACAGCACATGTACCTCCACAGGGACCAGAAACTCATCCAGAAGAATAAAGTTTTAAAGGAAAGCCCCCAAAACAAAACATGTTACAGAACATTCAGTCCGGCCATGAGTAACAAATCCACTGAAACATCAAAGTGGGTGGGAACAGTGAGGAAGGGGTGGCACCAAGGCAGATAAACTGCAGAAAGAGACAGCTATAGAACCTGCCTTGGCAAACCTTCTGAGCTGCACATCCATCTGTTGCACATTAATCTGCCTCCACTGGGCTTTAGTCTAATCATCAATGTTGCTCTGAAACAAAGTACAGATAAAAGCGTCAACAACATTTGGTAAAGACAAGCTTCTGCTACGTAACAGATAAATGGATGCAGTGGAAAGCCCATAATGCAGCAATAGCTCCTGGACCTTACTTTTTATCCAACCCTATACCACAACCTCTAGAAAGTACACAAAATAATCCATCTTCTCAAAACTCAACCCAAAAGCCAAGCATTTAAACAGTTTCATACTTCAGTATCTGACAGGTACACATACGTCGCCATCTTTCTTGCGCTATTAAACACACACCCATACCCACTGACAACACACAGGTGCACCTGGGAGATAGGGGGGAAAGTGCCCTTCTCCCCCTCCTGGCAATACAATGCTATGCATGAAAATATGGAAAGAAAAATCTAGTACGTGTATTTCTAACCTTTCCTATGAAAAACAACTTCAGAGAAGCAGAACTTTACAAGGCTGATTTCCTATATGGGTCTGTACGCTGACTCTCCTGGATTCTTGCTTCTAAGCCTTCTACAGCTTCCTAATGTACAGCCCTCAGTTCTGAAGCGCAATTTTCTGGCTTTCTGAATTTTTACCCAATGATTGTAATTATTCAAGCAAGTTACTGATACTGAAGAGAGCTCAAAATAAAGCTACAAAGCTTACTTTGCTTTGGGATAATCCTGAAATTGGTTAACTTGAGAACAGAGATATTTTTACTCTGGGTATCCTAAAACATAGCAACCATAATTTCAAAAGCAAAAGTAATACAAGAACCTTCATTATTTTAAACTTTTCAATTTTTTAATTAAAACTATAACACGTCTAGGATCAAATTAAAAGCATAACAATCAAAATACATCCTAACTTTGTCATCAATTTTTTTAAAGAAATCTTAATTAATATAAATACTAACATCCCAAACTTTCTCAAGCAACCACTTTTCAGCACCGTTTCATTTGCTACTTCACAATAGCTACTTCAAACAGTTTCACAGATTCCTGCATTAGTAACATTTCTTTTTCCAGCATCTCAAGCTCTTGATTTGCCTTGAAGAATAAAAGAGCACTTGTAGTACAGTTATAGGGTATATTGAGCTTACCTAAACCTGGCAGGGAAATCTACAGATCCTGCATACATGATTCAACATAAGAAAAGCCAAGAGCAATTACTGCAGAGGTTTAAAAAGCCGCATTTGCATCGTTTCTGAAAGCACCCAAAAGGCAAACAAAGGACTCTATATTTGAACCATAAAAAGAAAAGCTGCATAGAAAACAGTTAATTCATACTCTTTTAATAAAACTCTTCACTTATTAAACCACTTCTCCTTACTTTAAAGTTGTATACATGTTAACAAGGTCTCTTCATGATGTTTTAAAAAGACCCACTAAACCTTCCACTTTGGACTACTGTATTCAAGAGCACATTATGCTGACTTTAAAAAGGAACATGAATAAAGAATATGAGCAAGTATTCTGAATTTTTTTACTTTATCAGTGACCATATGCAACATTGGAAGCAAAACAAGAGAAACCTAAATTTGGTGGTGCTAGAATTATACCAGCTTTTTGGGAAAAAAAAAAAAACAAAACCAACAAACACACCCAAACCCAACAAAAACAGAACAAAACAAACAACCCCCAAATATTTTAATACACACATCAGAATGTCATTAGATGTAGTACTGAAAGATTACAAGCAAGTATGTTTTTCTGAGATTCCCCATTACCTTATCAAGACAAGCACAGGCATTTTCTGCACCAAACTGGAAGGAGCTTCCATTTTAAATCTTTCTCTGAATTCCATCTGCTTACCCTCATGAAACACAGGTAATGACACCTGTCACTGATCATGTTCTTAAAAAAACCCCAAAAACCAAAGATATAAAAAAGCATTCAGCATACATCAAGCAAGTAAGGTGCATTTTCTTCCGATAACTGCAACCTCAGATGCCTGAGGAGGAGTTACTTCATGCTTTACCAACACAGGTCTCTTAACGGCATTCCATTTTTGAGGCATTTCCTATTTAACAGAGTAACATTATCTTGAAGGAGAAAATACCACATATGGCAGAAATATATCAATAAAATTTATATATTAACAGTGAGGATACTGCAACACCTGTCTACGAATAAGAAATTAGAGGGGAGGATTTATTTAACTACAAGCCATACTCTACGTCATAGTTTTTACTAGACTTTTTGTCAACTGCAAAATAATTAATTTTACAGATCATTGTTATCATAAACTACTTGAACTTAATGAACTCATATTTTATGTATCATCACACAAAACTTCATTCAAAAATATGTTTGGAACCTTCCACACAGTAAAAACAGAGCACTCCACTCCTGCTGCTTTAACACATTTTCAAATATATAGATGTGACCTGGAAATAGCTTTCTCATTCTACAAATCTCCCAAAGATCTCTAGAAAAGCCATTCAATAAACCATGGGAAAAAAAAAAAAAAAGTTCCATCAGGATGAATAAAATCACCTTGACAGGTTTTTTGCCTGTGTCCAAAGAAAGCAGAAGAGAAGCCTGAATTCAAGTCACTTCAGAGTAACCACAAGGCTAGTTTAAAGTAAACTGTTAAAGTAAACTGATTAAAAATCCTGTATTTATCTTCCTAGTCATCCCCTCATCCCAGTTTGGACCAGACTGACACAGAAATAGAAGTTTCACTGCGGACTGGAAAACTCACTGAAACTGGTGAGTTCTCATTTTGACTAATTAGATCATCTGATGAAAAACTTTAGTTGAACTTCTACCAAATTCTATTTAACACTATTTACATTGTAGTGAATCCCCCAAAACAGACCAAATAAAGGTCTCGTGTGCAGATGGTGATATTAAAGCCACAGCTTCATAAGCTCTTCTTTTAGTGTCAGTAGGAACCACTGCAGCTGTAGTGCTTTCCCACCTATTCTTACCACTGAGTTTTGCTTAATTCAGGTAATTGCCCCAAATTTCACTTGCCACCCAAAATAATTATAACTGGAACAGTCGTAGGGCAGAATATACACACAGGAGCAAGTGGCTGAGGATCTCTGAAAGACTGCATCACCTGACAGGCATCAGATCCCAGCTTGTATACCCATATTTGAACAGAGCCCCAAACTGCTGCCAACTGTGTTAGAGAAGGCAAAGCAACATAGGAAATACACTCACTAGAGTTTCTGTGCAGCTCAGCTTCTGGATGTGAACATGATTTGTTCATTATTAAAAAAAAGGGGGGCGTGTGTGCAAAAAAATAACTACTGACCTTATCAGAACAAAATGTACCAGACCTCTCTTTGAATTGATTTTCCATCATTCACATAAAACGAGCCTTTTAAAAAAAACATAAGAAAAACTAACTGGCTTTGTTGCTGGCAACTGAGAAGGAATAAAGAGAATAGAATTATTCTACATCACTGAGATCAAATACTGCTATTTTAGGACCATATACACTTAGGTAAACATGAAATGCTACTTTTGCTACAGTACCTCTAACTGGGCACAAACTTTGCCTGGCTTCTTCTGTCCATAGTGTTCTAAAAAATGCAACCATCTCTTTTAAAGGTTCCAAGAGCTCATCAGCGGTTGTCTGCCTCTCCTTCACAGCCAAGAGGTGTCCCATGATTTCTACCAGCACACAATAATCTCCCTCAGTTGCCTCTCTTTAAGGTCCAGCATCTGTCACTTCTATAAAATCTTCTATATCAGCCAGACTACCAAAGAGGGAAGGTATAATTACAAACAAAGCAAACATTCCTTACTATAGTGAATAAACATGTAGTAAACCCTACTGGTACTAGTAATGGCACTTACACTGTTTTACAAAATATAGTTATTTATAAAATAAAAATAATGTACCTTTATTATATCATTTTAAGATATTTTGGGCCTGACTTCCAAAGACAGCAAATGCTACTATTAAGAATTAACCCAACAGGATACACAAGGACAAGATTTGGGAAAGAGAAAAACAAACAGCCAACCCCCCCCCCCCCC